CGCCATGGGTGCCCCGCCCAGCCCCGCCATGGGTGCCCCGCCATGGGTGCCCCGCCATGGGTGCCCCGCCATGGGTGCCCCGCCATGGGTGCCCCGCCATGGGTGCCCCGCCATGGGTGCCCCGCCATGGGTGCCCCGCCATGGGTGCCCCGCCATGGGTGCCCCGCCATGGGTGCCCCGCCATGGGTGCCCCGCCATGGGTGCCCCGCCATGGGTGCCCCGCCCAGCCCCGCCCAGCCCCGCCCAGCCATCGGCTAAAAAGACCGTATCGGCAACCGTTGCGCCGAGCACGCTGATCTGGAAACATTTCAAACGTCGCTCCTGGAGGCCCTGGAGGCCCTGGAGGTCGTCCCCTCGTTTCCCACACCACCGCCACCGTCCATGGTCCGGACCCCCTTCTCGGGAGTCCTTCCAGCTAATGCCCAGGTCGGGTTCGAGTTCATCCGACGCCTTTTCATTCTCTCCGCTTGTTTTTTTATTTTTTCTTTATTCCTACGTCGGGCTATTACCCCGTCTCTCTTTCTTTCTCTCTCTCGCGTCATTAGCGGATCAGCTCCGGATAAGCATCAGTTTTGACGCTTATATTTGGTGCGATCAAAAGGTGCGCTAAAACAACTCGGCCTGGCCCGCTGCAGGGAGGGACGCGGCGAGGACGGCGAGGAGGACCGCAATGGCCGCCGCCGTCGTTGCGACACCGAGGCCACGCCGTCATGCCGGGGTTGCCGTGCCACGCCGTGCCGAGGTGCAATTGCTTATCACAGCGAAGCGAAGCCAGCGAAGCCAGCGCACTGTATCGAACTTTTGAAGGTTCCCACACCCCGCCCCACCCCGCCGCGCCCCGCCGCGCCCCGGTTTCACGTGTCGTGTGCTCGGCCTGCTCGGCCTGCTCGGCCCCCCGGTGCGCGCCCCTCGGACGCACGCACGCCGCGCCGAGTCCGGCCAACTGCCGCGCCGCGGCCGCCGAGTTGCCGTCCTTTTCCCCCGCCAGGAAAGCTGACCCAAGTGACCCGCTGCCCTGCATGCCAGGTGAGGGCTACCTGGCCGTGCGCACGCGCATGTGTGTGTGTGTGTGCGTCTGTGTGCACATGTGTGTGTGTGCGTCTGACAGGCAGCGGAGCGGATTCAGCAGCTCTGAGGTAAAGCTTCTCTCCGATTTGAATGCCGAGCCGAATAAAGTGCCGCTCACATTGTCTGCCGGGGGCGCGTGTTCCATGGAAAGTTGTTTCGCATTGACGGATTACGGGGCCAAGTTGCGACGCGACACTGCTAGCGACGCCAGCGACGCCGCTTGTAGGGCGCGCCGCGTCCGGGGACACCCGCTGCGGAGACCCAGGAGCTCGGAGGGCCGCAGCACAGTGGGCCAGAAGGCTGGGGCAGGCGGTCGAAATCCCGGACGCGTTTTGAGCTTCAGAGTCGCCAAATGGGACTCGAACCGAACGTGTGACCCCACCAATGGACTCCTCGTTCGGAGAGCAATCCATTGGTGGGGTCACACGTTCGGTTTGGGCCCTGTTTAGTGACTCTGGAGCTCAAAACGCGTCTAGAGTTTTGGCCGCCTGCGCCAGTCTTCTGGCCCACAGTGCGGCGCAGCCATGGCGCGGCTCGCTCAAGGACGGCCAATTCGACGTTTTCCTGCCGATCGTTTTTCGTGCCGCTGCTGATCCGTTGATGACGATAATGATGATGATGACGGCGATGCTCGTCGGCGTGCTCTGAGCGCCGCGTCGGCCGCCCCCCTTGGAGCTTGCTCGCCGCGCTGCTGCGCTTGTCGGTGCGGGCCGGGATGGGACGGTCGGGACGGGACGGGATATCGACACCGCTAACTGGCCGGCCGGCACGGCTGCGCGTGATTATAATTAATGGCCGCCGATCCTCTTTGGAATGAAAGGTAAAAGGAGTGATCATCCCGGCCAGCATTGTCCACGCCGCCCGCGCCATTGTGCCTCCTCTGTCTCTCTCGCACCCCCACGCCGCGGCCCGTGAGTGCGACAGAGACGGGGCGTCGAACTCTCCGGGCAATCAGTCCGCTGGCCGGGGTTACCTGAGTGACGCTAATCACACCGTCCACGGCCTCCACGGCCTCCACGGCCTCCACGGCCTCCACGGCCAGGATCACGGCGTGCAGGGGTTGGCGGGCGGACGCGCCGTGCGCCCTCAACGCCGTCCTGGTGGGCGATACCACGAACGGTCCCAACGCGTCTGGTGCGCGCCTTATGTGGATCGCAGGTCCCCGCGGTGGCCACCCCGCCCCGCCCCGGCCCCGCACAGCACGGCGGCGCCCCTAACTCAGACAGCTTCGTGCCCTTCCTTCGCCTCCTGCTGCTGTGTGGCTGCGAACGCCTCGCGCCGCCCAAAGTGTATCGACTACTTGAGCAGAAAGAGTCACAGGAGAGTAGGAAGAGTCGGGAAGGGGAGGCGAAGGGAGGCACTACTGTATGTGTCCGTGTTTCCAACTGTCACAGGCGGTGGGGAGAGATGGGGAAGGCGTCTCAAGCCGAGCCAACTTCCTCGTTCGCATATTACGTAATACGTGCATCTCCACGGTCGGTTCGAGTCCTATTTAGCGACTCTGGAGCTCAAAATGCGTCCAGGATTTTGACCACCCGCACCGGTCTTCTGGCCCGCTGTGCGCCAGGATTTCCTTCGGCGGGAAGGCAAAGCTATCAATCGTCCAGATAGCGGCAACACACGCGGCGGCCTGGCGGGTCCGACCGACATCGGCAAGCAGTCGGGGAACAGAGAGCGATCGGCAGGCGTCGTGAGTCTCCCCGAAGTGGAACAGCTTCGGCCACCACTTCCCCCCAATCACTGGATAAGAGTTTCCGCGATTAGGGAATCATAAAGTTCCCCGGCCCCGCGAGAGAGAAAGGGAGAGAAAGGTAGGGAGGGAGAGGGGAGGAAGGGCGTGGCATCGATTACCTGCTCCCGCTATTGGCCTCCCCCTCAAGGTGCGCCTCGACGGCCTCGGGGCTGGAGAGGAAAACTCGCCGGCCGAAGTGTAGTTAATTTGGAGGACTGCATTGTGCTCGCTGCGCCGGACAAGTTCAAGTTTGGCTAGTTGGAAATGGAGATGTTTGAAACGAAGCCGAAAGTTCGGGTCGCGGCGGAAAAGAAGCTCGGTTCACTCGGGCTGCTCTGCCTTGATCGTCCCGCAAGGGACGTGAACTGAAGTGCTGCCGGTCGAGGGAAGGGCCTGCTTCGCCGCTTCGCCCCGCCCCGCCACCGCCGCGCCCCGCACGTCGCGGCGCCCCCAGCCCCCCGGAAGGCCCCCCGCGGGCGCCGTGCTCGCTCGCCAGCTTTGGCGGCGGAGTGCTGCTCGGCGCAAAGATGTCGTATTAAATATTGACGCGCCCACTCAAGACACAGCGCCAACAATTCGCCACCACTTAGGCTGCTCTGCGCCACGGCGGCAGCAGCGCGGCAGCCCGGCGCAGCCTTCCCCGAGGCCTTCCTCCCCGCCAGCACCGCGATAGGTTTACGTGGGCGTCTCCGGGGCCCTGCTAGCCCCGCCGGCCCCGCCGCCCTGCATCTGCTCCAAGGCGATGGCCTCGGCGCGGCTCCCAGGGGGACGTCTTCTGGAATCGGTACTGCGACGCCATGGCGCCGTGGCGTGCCAGCGCGAGGAAGCCCCGCTCCATCTTCGCCGTCCCTTCTTCCTCCGCCTGCGCCGGGAGTTTGGAGTGCGCCTGCCTATCAGGCCTCGGACACGATCTCGGCTCGGACCGGGAGATGCCGTGGGCCACTTTAGCCGGAGTAGTAGCGCCCGCCCCGCCCCGCGCCTCGTCTCAAACTTGTAACTTGAGACGGGCGCATCAATTTTGCACGGCAGGCAAGGAAGAGCAGTTCGACCCGGCCGGCGTTCGGTGGGCACACGGGGGTACACGGGGGTACACGGGGTAGCGGCGAAGGGGTTCTACAACAAGCGGATGCCTCAACTTTGGCGTCGTCCACCCCGCTCGACCTCTGGCGGTAAACTACACCCCTCCACCCTGGCCATGGCCTCCACTCCCCTGTGCGACAAAACCGCACGGAGCGTGGGGTGGAAAAAGGCTGGAGGCGCGGGTATTCGAACTCAGGCCCAGAGGCTGACGAGACCAATTCCGCAGCGGATGTGGCGGGGCATCACGGGGCATTTCCATATCTGAACGCGCTGCCTTTTATTCGCCTCGTTCTGCTGCTTCGCCCCCTCCCCCCCCCCCTCTCCGCCTTTTGATCCCGATTGTGCCCGGAGCGGAGTAGCGGGCCTGCCTGGCCTAGCGGTCGGAAGCCAAGCAGAGCGCGGGGCCGTTGGCCACCATCATCGGCCACCATCGGGCACCATCGGGCACCATCGGGCCCCGAGGACTCAATTTGTGCACGATCACATTGTAGCAGAACTCTTGATTGGACTCGAGTTGGCAGTGGTGTTGCCCTTCCCCGCCGCGTCTCCGCCCACTCCAAGTTGCCGTTACCGTTCCGACGCGTTCCCCGCCTGGAGCCTCGACGCACAGTGGGCCAGAAGACCGGTGGAGGCCTCCAAAATCCCAGACGCGCTTTGGAGCTCCAGAGTCGCTAAATGGGACTCGAACTGAACGCGTGACCCCACCAATGGATTGCTCTCCGAACGAGGAGTCCATTGGTGGGGTCACACGTTCGGTTCGAGACCTGTTTAGCGACTCTGGAGCTCAAAGCGCGTGTAGAGTTTTGGCCGCCTCCACCGGTCTTCTGGCCCACTGTGCGACGGGGTCGCGTCCCGGGCGAGGTCCCAGCAGGCCCCAGTCGGATCCCGATTCCCGATCCGCGACGCGCTGCTCCACCTCGAGGCTGTGGCACCGCCAGGGCCGCCAGGGCCAGGTCGCCATCGCGTACACTTAATTTAGCGAAATGGGCTTCCCTTTGAAAGCCCCGCCTAGCGGCCTCCAGGCGCTCCAGGCGCTCCAGGCCCTCCAGGCCCTCCAGGCCCTCCAGGCCCTCCAGGCCTAGCAGCTCAGCTCACGCGAGTCGGCCCGGAGTTTAATGTCTTAATTCAGCACTCAGGCTACACGGATGGGGTGCCGGATAAGTGCGACGTGTGCGGGGGGCGGGGCGGGGCGGGGCGGGGCGTCTTGGAGGGCGTCGCGAGGCGCCGCGCTACGCGGAGGGCAAGCAGCAAACAGCGCGCCGCCGAGGGGGCGAGGCGAGTGGCGGCGACACGGCAAGTAAATGAGATAAGAGCTCGCACAGTTTTGCGCACAGCGCTTCTTACTTACAAACACACAAGTTTGAAAGGCCTTGGGGGCGCGTTCTCGCGCTGCGTCGTCGCCGTCGTCCGAGGCGCTCTCTCTCTCTCTCTCTCTCTCTCTCTCTCTCTCTCTCTCTCTCTCTCTCTCTCTCTCTCGCTCTCTCTCTCTCTCTCCTCTCTCTCTCTCTCCTCTCTCTCCCTCTCTCTCTCTCTCTCTCTCCCTCTCTCTCTCTCTCTCTCTCCCTCTCCCTCTCTCTCTCTCTCTCTCTCTCTCTCTCTCTCTCTCTCTCTCTCTCTCGCTCTGTCTCTCTCTCTCCGTCTCTCCCTCTTGAGCCGCGATGCCCCGGCGCGGTGAAGTTGGGAACTTCACTCAACGTCCAGGTTACGGGCGAAGCAGCCGAGCGGGTTGCCTATGCTCGACTCTGCGGGCGCACTGGAGTCGTCCAGGAGAGATACTTGCCCCGCTACATCGACGCAGAGCACCACCAATTGCTCTAAAAAGCTGTATTGTATGACGTATAGAGTGTACAGTGTACAGTGTATGAATTGCATAGAAGATATATTGCACAATTTTTCATGAAATGAGACAAACGCAGAAATAAAAAACGACCCTGCACGAGACCTGTTTTGTTTCTACGAGGGTTTTGGTTTCCACAATGTGCCTCATAGGAGATCAAATAGGTCGGGTAGAAGGTCTTCGGCCCCCTAAACAACAAAATACAATTTCGGGGGGTTTGCTTCGAATGCCTGCTAGACGCGGTGGGGCCATGGAGTGGGCCGGTGCTCCTGGAAGCTGCCATGCCAGAAAGTGAGTAGAAAGTAGAAAGGGCTGGGATAAAATTTTAATGAGTAAATCCCAGCGGGCTCGTTCTCGTGCACTACCAACACATCTCCGTCGTTTTGTCCGCCCCGCCCCGCCGCTCCCCGCCGCGCCGCGCCACGCCACCAGACCCGGCCTCCCCGGCCTCCCCCGCCCCATCAAGGCCCTGAGTAGTTCTCTCGGCGAGTTCCAGCGGCCTGCCTCCATTTCTCCAGGGCCACCCCGCCCACCCCCACCCCGCCGTGGTTTTTATCTCTCTCTCTCTCTCTCTCTCTCTCTCTCTCTCTCTCTCTCTCTCTCTCTCTCTCTCTCTCTCTCTCTCTCTCTCTCTCTCCCTCTGCTGAATTTGAGCCCCGTGTCCTTTCACTTAGCGCTGCGACGCCCGAGGCCCGCCGGCCTGGGCTTGTCCGCGCTGCCACCTTCGCTTTTTAAGCGGCGAAGCGGCGGCCCGCTCTCCTTTTACTTTCTCATCTGCCCGGCTCGGCCCGGCTCGGCCCGGCTCGCTAATTGGAGGTAATTCCCCTCGTTACGTTCAACTCGAGCAACACCGTGCCACCGTGCCGTGCACACTCCGTTCTACTTATGTTTTCCGAGGGGGACCCAACACCGCCGCGCTATGAAAACAGACGCTACGCAGCTCGGGGTGTATAAAGTGCAGTGACGACGCGGTTCCGCGCAGCCTTGCAGAAATTGGATACCAAGCGCCGAAATGGCATACGATCATATGTGGTCTAGCCCTTAATGGTAATGGTAATGGTGGGTACGAAGCAGGCAACCCAACGTACACTTGTGCAAAACTCCCCCTGGCGCTCGGGGGGCTTGGGGCTTGGGCAGTCTGGCCCGGGTGGCCACCGCTACACTGCGCCCCCGCCCCGCCGCAGCGCCCCGCCTTTCTGGCCACGAATATCTCACTTTAACTTTAAATGGCCCACAGCGGCCAGTGCGATTTGTGCCGCTCGTAGTGGAGGGCGAGGAGGGCGAGGAGGGCGTGGGGGCGGGCAGCGCCCACTGCGGACTGCGGGCTGCGGACTGCGGTGGCGTGCAGGCCCAAAGGACCCGACTACCCTCCTCACCTCGTTCAAGGGGAGAGAGAGAGAGAGAGAGAGAGAGAGAGAGAGAGAGAGAGAGAGAGAGAGAGAGAGAGAGAGAGAGAGAGAGAGAGAGAGAGAGGAATCCTGCGGGGGAGCTTGGGGAGGCAAAGCGTACGGCACTCGTCCTGTGTGTAGCGCTCCGCAAATATAAAGACTAAAAAAAAATGAATAAAAACTTTTGGCGCTCTCATGTATTGTGCCTGAGCGGCAGTTTTACTAAATAGTTTTTGTTGACGGTGTTCTTCGGAGTGGACTGCATTAACTCGCCGTGCGTTTTGATACATTCTTTTTATTGTTCCTCCATTATAAGGCATCTTACACTCTATCCAAATCACAATAAATAACGAATCAATAATAACATAACAGGAATAAGTTTATTCGCACACAATATTGTGAGAGAGACTCTACCTATCACAGAAGAGGTGGGGCACTGAGCAAATTGAGCAAACAAAAATAGAACAAAATTACTTTTAAAATAATAAACGAACATAACAAAGCTGTAAAATGAAATAATATTTCGCCAAGAAAAGCCAGAAAAGTCTCATCTCATGCATGCACCATAATACGAACAAAGCAACGAAACTGTACTGGACTGTGCTAGGAGCCCGTGTGTTGTGTTCTTCTCTTTCTTTTCTCACAAAACGAATCGAAATAATATAACAGATAAGCGAAGTGCTTGGTAACTTAAGTAATTACAATGAATGGCATTGAAAGCACACGCTCCTACTTTCCTACACAGCGGACGTTGGCCTCGACGTCGTGCTCGAGGACGAGGTGGCCGTCCGCGGGGCCTAGCGCGCCGGAGGGCTGGCGGTCCGCGGCCCGGAGCTCGCCGACGAGGAGGTCGAAGTCGTCGCCACGGACGAGGGGATTGCCAGCGGCACGCCCTTGCCGGGCAGGTGGGTGGCCAGGTGGTGCGCGGGGAAGTACAGAGGCTGGTCGCGGGGGTCGCGGACATCCCGAGGGTCCCGGAGGTCCCGGAGGTCGCGGGGATCCCTGAGGTCGCGGGGGTCGCGGAGGTCCCGAGGGTCTCGGAGGTCCCTGGGATCGCGGGCGTCGCGGGACTCCCGGCCGTCGTCCAAGTGGGCGCCGCCGAACGACGCCGTGGGCTTCTTGGGGTGCTGGAAGGGCGACTCGTGGGGGTTTCCTGTTGGCACAGAGAAAGGAACGTTAGCGGTGGAGTGCAAAAGTAGTACAGTCTTGGTTCGGTTTGATCCAGGAGCACTCACCATAGGCGGCGGGCTCGTGGTAGAGCACGGGGACGGGCACCCTGACGAGCCTCTGCGCGGCGTGCGCGGCGTGGGCCATGTTGGCCATGTTAGCCATGTTGGCCATGTTGGCCATGTTGGCGGCCTCCAGCTCGGCGGCCAGCTGCCTCTTCCACTTGTTGCGACGGTTCTGGAACCAGATCTTGACCTGCGTCTCCGTGAGGTGCAGCGAGGCGGCCAGCCCCGCGCGCTCCGACGAGGACAAGTAGCGCTTCATGTCGAAGGTGGACTCGAGCTGGAAGACCTGCGACCGCGAGAACACGGTCCTCGTCTTCTTCTTCCTCTTGTTGGCGTTGGCGGCCGCGCTGGCCGCGGACCCTCCTTGGCCGCCGGAGCTCGCGGATCCGCCGTCCTTGGCCGCGTCGTCCTTGCCGGCGTCGTCGTCGTCATCGGCGGACTCCTCGTCCTCGATGTTGATGTCCACGTCCTCCGCGGCCGACGACGCGGGGCTGTGCGGCGCCGCGTCCAGGGCGGCGGGGGCTGGCGCTGGGGGTGGCTGGCGGGCAGGCAGCGCGGAGGCGGCGGCGGGGTTTCGGTACTGGTCCAGGTACGAGTCGTAGCCGAACAGCAGGAACGGGTTGTAGTACGGCAGCCTGACGGGGTAGGGCGGCACGGCCAGCGAGGCCGCCGACGGCGGCGCGGGCCCGTCGTCCTCGCGGGGCCGCTTGCGCCTGCCCTCGTGGTCCGAGCCGGCGGGCGACCTGGCGGGGCTGGCGGTGCCGCTGCGCGGGCTGCGGGGACTCCGCGGACTCCGCGAGCTCCTGGGGCTGCCGGGGCTGAGGCACCGCGGCGAGCCGCGCGGCGACGGCGACCCTAGGCGGGAGCCGCCCGGACTGCAGTCGTCCGGCGTGGACAGGGAGCCGCCTGCAACAGGAGGAGGAGGATCAGCACACTCTAACGGACGCGTCGACAAGCAGCAGTCATTTGTCCACTCGGCTCCCGGCTAAGACGCTGATGGCGTTCTTTATCTCCGGCCAAGCGGAGCGTGAAGCGGCAGCTCCCGTCCGCGGCCACGCAGGCCGAGGAGAAGGAGAAGCAGGCCGAGATGCTATCGCCCGCCGCAGACTGTGCCGCAGCGTCGCGCTCGCTTTATCGCGCTGCTGCTTTTTTCCTTTTCCCGAAACGCGTCTTGCACCTGATTTGGCAGCAGCCGAGCCACTCCGGAGAGCCGTTTCGTCACCCTGTCTCTCTCGCACCCCTAGGGGGACGCCCTACGAGTACGACAGAGACAGAGCGACGAAGCGAATCTTCGGGATCGGTTTGCTCTGCGCGCATCGCATTGTCGCCCCGCCCCGCCCCGCCTCGGAGATGGGCCGATAGGCCGAGGGCAGGGCGGCCGGGCCGGGGCGGCCGGGGCGCGCTGCGAAGGGGGTTGCTTGCTGCTTTGTCTCGCGACGCCACCCCGCAGCCCCAGCCCCGCCCCGCACCGCCCCGCATCGCGATAAGGGAGCGGCCCAATGATGGAATGGAGTTGTCACAACAGCCTGAGTGGCCAGATAAAACAAGGCGGGCCGGACAGGTAAGCCTCGCGCTGAGCGAGCGAGCGGCACCCTGCGTCGAGGTCACTGGCACCGCCACCGCGCCGCCACCACCCCGCCCCAGCAGACTGATTCCGAGAGTCGTCGCTCTGTCTCTCTCGCACCGATACGCGACCCTCGATGAGCGCGAGAGAGACAGAGCGACGAAAACGACTCTCGGAATCAGTCTGCAGAGGTGTGAGGCCGCCATTCTTTCGGCACACAATGCCGCGAGTAATGAACTCCCCGGTTTGTTTGGGAGTGTCACTGCGGAAGGCTGCGGCAGAGTGCGACACGGAGACACTGTGAAACACTCACACTGCAACGCCAGTAACGAGGACCAGTGCTGAGAGGCGCAGCTAGCTTCTTTTCACAAGCAGCGCAGCCTGAGAATGCCGTCTTTTCGATCCACTCGGAAAACGGGCCAAATTTTCGCTGATTTACCGTTTCTTTCTCGCGAAGATCAAAAACGAAGTGCAGATTATTCTTTTGAAAGTCTGTCAGCCACCTATGTCGGTTTTTTTCTGGCGCAAACAGCGAAGCACGGCACGTAGAGCGACCGCCACTTCAGCCCTCGGCACCTTGGCGCCCCGCTAAGCCAATTACACCCCCTCCCCTCCCCTTCCCCCTTCCCCCTCGCGCTGAAAGGCATCGCGGAAAGAGGATTTGTTTGTTCCTTCTAGTGGCCGCACTCTGGCCTTCCCTTGCTTCGGTTCGTCCCGCTGGTCAGGACGGCGCTGGGACGGCCAGCAGGGTGGGCACCAGTGGGCAAGAGGAGGGAAGAACGGGGCAACGGAACGTGTCTGTCTCGGGCTGTCCGTCCGGCCAGCCGAGTGGTCACCCTAGCCACACTGCTGCAAAACCATTGACGGGGCGTTACGCCTGGGCGGCATGAACTGGACTAGGCCGCTTCGCCGCGCTTCGTCTAGGGTGCCCGGGTGGCCCCAGGGTGCTGGCTGGCTGGTGGCTGGCTGGCGCTGGCGGTGCTTCCCCCGCGCGCCCGCCCCTTTCCACTAAGCCTAACTGTTTCTGTTTACGTGCGGCGTGAACGTGAACTCTGACGGCTTGTCGACGGAAGCCCCTTCCACAGCGCAGCGCGCGCGGCACAACACGGGGCGGGGCGGGGCGGGGCGGGGCGGGGCGAGGCGGGGCGGGGCGGGGCGGGGCGAGGCGGGGCGGGGCGGGGCGAGGCGGGGCACCCCAATCCCAATCACGCCCACGATGCGAGCCCTGCCCAAGCCGGCACCGTTTCTCCGCTTTCGCGGTCGGCCCGCACTCGGCTCGGACTCGGCGGTGACGGCGACACCGCATCGTCGGCGTCAGAGAGTGCCCTGTGCTGGACCCGGGGAGTTTCACCCCGGAAAGGGTTGCTCTAATGGGAAATCTGCCCTCCACGGGCGGCCGCCGCGGCCCCCCTCACGTGCGCGCGCGCGCGCGCGTGTGTGTGTGTGTGTGTGTGTGTGCGCGCGCGCGCGCCACGCGCCGCGTCCTGCCATTCGTGGTGTCAGTATCTGTAATTGAATCACACTGAACGCCGCTGACAGGTATCGGATTTCGACCGTACGCCCACGCCGCGCCCCGCCGCGCCCCGCCGCCGATGGCGACCGTCAAGCTGGCAGGCAGGCAGGCAGGCAGGCAGGCAGGCAGGCAGGGAGGCAACCCCCTTCCACTCGGCCGGTCGCCGAGGCAGCCGAGGCCCCACAATATCGGGCACGCTCAAGTGCTGGTCAATATGCTGCCTGCCCACGCGGCCGACGCCCGGCTGGCGAGCTAGCCGGGGGTAGCGAGGTACACTCCGACCCGAAAGCATAGCGCGGTTCGTGCGGAAGATTCGTGACAGGGCAGAAGTTCTAAATGGTCTTTTCCTCTTTCACCGCCCTCTGGTGAATCCGAGCTCGGGGCCGAGAGGTTGCCGGTGCGGGGGGATGCCGGGCGGGCATAGCGATTTCATACGTGCCAGCGTGACCCAATTCCCAGTGCGGCTGCGGGCCGCGCGCCACGGCGCCGAGGTCGCTGCGGAGGCCGCTTGGGGCGCTGCTGGCGTTGCTGGCGCCGGCTTGCAGTGCACCGCGCGCTGCTGCTGAGCCAGCAGGAGGCCATGCAAATGTCAATCGCTGCAGTGTAACCGGTGTGGCCTAGTCTGCCGGGGGCAGTGCGGCACTTGAGGCTAACCTGCCGGCCAAGCGCCTCGCAGTGCAGCGCCCTGCAGTGTAGAGCCCTGCAGCGCCCCGCACAGTGGAGCCGCTTAAAAATCCCGGAAGGGTTTTGAGCTCCAGAGTCGCTAAATGGGACTCGAACCGAACGTGTGACCCCCAATGGATTGCTCTCCGAACGAGGAATCCATTGGTGGGGTCACACCTACGGTTCAGGTCCCATTCAGCGACTCTGGGATCAAAACGCGTCTGGAGTTTTGGCCACCTCCACCGGTCTTCTGGCCCACTGTGCGTCGGCACGGCGGCGACCCAGCAACGCAGAACTGTTGTTCGCTCACCTTCTGACGTCGTCCGATGGCGGGCCGCGGGCGGCTGCTGGTGTCCGAGCCCGAGGTGGGCGCCGCCCTGGCCGCCCTGGCCGCCCTGGGGGGCGTGGGCGGCCCGCAGCCCCGGCCAGGGCAGGCCCAGGGGGTGCGGGGGCCCGGGGGCGCCTGGACGGAGCGCGGCTAGCTGCGACATGAGCCCCAACCTGCAACACAGCGGAGGGGTTTGTCAGGAGGGGCACGCCATGCGCCAAGCGCCAAGCGCGCCAAGCTGCAGCACTTGAATGACGACGCCACCGACACTTCCAGTGTGATGATCCAGCCGCACGACACTGCGCCGTGTCGCCGTGTCCGACGCCCCGTGTCCGACACGGAGACACGCTAATGGAGACAGATGGCGCGTGTGTGAGTGTGTGTTCGTGAGTTCGTATGTGTGTTTGTGTGCGTTGCCAGCTCTGCCTGGCCGCCCCAGCGACGCTAACCTGTATTAATAGCGGGGGCATCAATCGTCAGCATGTGCACCAACACACCCACGCTCCACGTCACACACACACACACACACACACACACACACACACACGAGTGAGTGTGTTGCGACGACCGCCGCTGTTAATTTTGAGCGTGTTCCACTGGCACTGCCGGCTAAAGCATCCGTTTTACGCGCGCGGCCAGCGCGGCCAGGTGAAACGACATCTGGAGGACGCTGTCCAGCCCCTCCAGAGAACTGTCCGCCGATTCATCGCGACGAAAGGGGATATGAAATGTTGACGGAAAGTCATCGCCGACTACTGGGGGATGTAGATTAATGTTGCATCGCGTCCAGGATCAAGTTGTCGTCCAGGAGGAAGGACGGGCGGGGGAGGGGAGGGGAGGGGAGGTGTCCCTGGCGCTAGGAAAGGGACTTGGTAAAAGAGCAACGGCGGGAGAGTCGCTGACGGTCCTTTCGAAAGGACGCACAAAGACAACCCTTTACTGCGCGTCGCCCCTGTCCGGGGCGACGGTGGGAGGCAGTGGCGGGGCGGGGTGGGGTGGGGAGGGTGGGGCGGGGCGGGGCGGGGTCGCGTATTGATACGATAGGGCCACTCAAGGCAGGCCGGGGCTGCCGAGGCAAGCAGACACCCTGTTTGATACAACTCCAGCGCGTGGCCGGCGCCCACCCCGCCCGTCGCCACGGCCTGGCGCAGCCTGGCGTCCTGAAAGGCCCGAAGCCTTACACCATTAACCCCCTCCCCTCCCTTCCCTAATTCTCTCGCCGCCTGTTCGGTGGCCTTACGCCCGGGGGCTGCCCGCCCCGCCCCGCCCCGCCCCGCCCCGCCCCGCCCCGCGATCTGTCCGTAAGACGAGCCGGCTGCGGTAAGTGGATCGCAAGGCAGTGATTTGGGCCGCGAGGCGCGGCGCGTCCGGCGAGGCGGCCGAGCTCTGGGCTGGGGTAGGCTGGGGGTGGCGGAGTGCGAACCCTCCCGGGGCCGAGCGACGCCGACGCCGCCAGGAGGGGGTGGCCGTGGCGCCGTGGTCGTGGCGCCGTGGCCGTCGGGGAGGCACGCCACGGCACGCCACGGCACGCCACGGCACGCCACCGCGCATGATTACCGATATCTGGCGGCGATAATTTGCGTCTCTGATTTACGGTCAAACTTGGCGGTATCGCCGGCGGGGGGGGGGGGACTCTACCTGGGGCGGCATGGCGGCACAGCGGCGCGGCGGCGCGGCGGCGCGAAGGAGGATCGAGAGCCCCCGGGGACGACGCCGTCGCCACCGCCTTGGAACTATACGCCCTCGGCCGCTGGGCGACTAGTCCCTCGGCCACGTTCGGTTTAAAGGGAGGGTCCACCCCACTGCATGCAGTGGGCCATGCCGTGATGCTGCGGGGCCATGCGATAAACAGCGACCTCTCTGCTCTCTACACGGCACGATCGGCCGCCGCGGCAAACTGGGCGGTGATTCAGCGCGCACCTTTTACCCAAATCAGCTTCCGGGCGGCGGCGCGCGCGCTACGCTCCGACTTTCCGGCAACTCTTTCGCCCGAACTAGCCGAAAAGGGCGGTCAAACGAAGCGCACTAGTCTGCCCATGCACATGCCATTTAGTTAAGTGTGAGCGTGTGTGTGCGCGCGCGCTCTAGTTTTACTATGAAAGGGCGCCAAATGCAGCAAAGCCGTGCGGGGAATAGCGAAAGACGAGAGAGAGTTGGGCCGGGCCTAGGCCGGGGGCTCCCAGCCAGGCCAGGTCGCGCGCGGTGCGCGGTGGGATTCCCTGGCCAGCCGGAGCGCCCACTACGCTACGGCCCGGCCCACCGGCACCCACACTGTGGCACCCACACTGTGGCACCCACACTGTGGCACCCACCACCGCGGGGCCGTCCGGATTTACAGCGCCGGCCGGGCAGAGGGCCGTAACCAGAGGGCCGTAACTGGCCGGCGAGCGGCGCGCACTTGCGTGGATGAGAGCGCGGGGCCGGCGGGGCGAACGGCCGGCCGAACGGCACGCAATGACTGGCCGAAGCGAGCCGATTCACAGTGTGGAGTCGAGTCGATCTCGCACCGCTTGCGCGGCTGGCACCGCTTTGCCGTGCCGTGGCGTGGCATGGCGTGGCGTGGCGTGCCGTGGCATGGCGTGGCGTGGTGTGACCACGGCGTGCTCGTCGCGGTGCGCTCGTACGCATGTACATTACACTTTCGCTCAACATGTCAGTGGCGCGGAAATACCTGGATTACCGCCTCGGGCCGCGAGGGGAAAGAGGGGCGGGGGGGGGGGGGCAAGGGGGGGCTGCGGAGCTCCGCGACCCGCTCCCCGCCGTTGTCACGCGGTGCTAATGGCAACAGAAAGATGCGCATGCACAGAAATAATTTTCCGCGTTTGTTAGCAAGTTTTGTCTGCGCGTTCCGCGCGCGCAACAAGGCCCTCCTGACGCTGAATGGCGCTGGAGGACGTGAGTCAGCGGGACGCCCTTCCCTTTCACGTGAAGGTGATGGCCGCGTGCATGTGGGCGGCCAGAGCAATTAAACCCCGGACCATTATTTCTCCCGATTGTTCACCACTTCCTCCGCGCTCCGCGTCTGCGGCGTTTTCCCCAGTGTGAGTCATGCACAGTGCCTCAGCGGCCTGGTGCTCGGAGCCCTCACCTTGACCAGACGGCGGTGGCGTCCAGGACGTCGATGGGGCCTCGCGCGGCGCCGCGCGCCACCGCGTCCCCGCGGTCGCCGTGGAGGCCGTCATCGCGAGCGTCCCTCGCGGCGCGGCCGGCCTCGGCGTCGGCGTGGTCCCTGCTGGACAGGTCCCTGGACAGGATGCTGGAGATGGAGAATGGCGAGAAGGCCGCGGCGGCGGTCTTGTCGGCCAGGGGCAGCGGCCGCAGGGGCGCCGTCAACCTGGTGAAGCCCTCCAGGGGGAACGGCTTGTTGAGCGCCTCGGGGGCGGCCATCGCTGGACGGCGTGCTCACAGCCTCATGGGGGTGGCGCGGCCCTCGCGGCCCTCGCGGCCCTCGCGGCCCTCGCGGCACGGCACGGCGACGCGGCGCGACGACGCTGCGTGCTGCGGCCTGCGCAGGCTGGCTTGCACAACGTGTTGCTGGTGGTGTGTGCGGACAGGGACTCGCCGCCGTCGCGCGCCGCCATGGCACCGCGGCGTGCAGGCCGTGCAGCCCGCGCGCGGAGGGGCGGCACCCCGCCTCCCCCACCAGCACCAGCGGGCCGCCGTCGGGGCTGGCGGTGGGGGAGGCCCGCCCCTCATTGGCCGCGGCCGCGGGGTGGGAGCCGCGGTCTGGCGGCGAGCGCGGCCGCGGGGAGGGGGAGGGGGAGGGGGAGGGGTAGGGTGGGAAATCTCGGAGTGTCGCTTCGCCTCGACCACCCCTCTGCGCGTGCTGGGCGTGCTGGGCGCTGGTCCCGGCCAGCCCGGCCCGGCAGAGGAACGCGGCCCGATCATGTCCTTCCATTCTGCCCATTCAGCCGCCGCAACACCGCAGCTTGACACCACGACACCCCCGATGCGCACAGCGCGCCGCGGCGCCGCACACAATAATGCGCACGGTTTCATGCGCCCGGGACACATGTAGTGACGCGTTGTCCTCACGGCACCAAGTCCGACGCCCGAGCAGGCCAAAGCTGCTTGCATTCATTGTTCAAACAAACATTGCACGGGGCTCAAGAATGTGTGACTGTTCCTTGGGGTCTGGGGGGGGGGGGCACAATCACCCGGCGATGATCGACCCCCCCCCCCCTTTTCCCTCCAGATGATGCATACGGTGCAGTATCGCTTCATCGGGGTCTTTCCTCGTGTGCGTGCGTGATGGCCGGGTCACGTCCGACATCTGTTTCGACTGAGGCGTCCATCCGCGGCGAGTTGGAAAAGGGGAGGGGGAGGGAGACCGCGCGTTCGGTCCGCTTTCATCAGCCTTGGCCACCTAATTGGCCGACGCCCCAACACACCCTCGGGGCAAAGCCCACTCAGGGTCCACTCAGGACCCACTCAGCGAGCCCCGGCCCCGGCCCCGGTCCCCGGCCCCAGCCTCGGCCGCACTGGCACCGCGTAGCCCGCGGCCGAGACGCCTTGCCTCTCTATGGGAGTTTTAAGAACAAAAGAGGCAAGAAAAAGAGGCAAGCCTGCGACAGCGGTGGTGGGGATCGAACCCGTGACCTTCAGAGTGGAAGCTCGAAGCGATATCGCGTGTGCCACTGAGGGGCCGTTCACGTGACCAGGTGATTTATCCGCAAAAGGGGTCGCCGAAAAGAAAATAATCCGGCCTTGGCGACTGGGTCTCTTTTGCATTGCAAGCACGATTGAGACAGATATCGCCGGAAAGGTGAAGCGGATTACTGTGCAGCCGCGCGTCGCCTCGGCGCCTGCGGTCCGTGGGAGGCAGGCCCGCCCGGCGCCGCGGTCCGCGTGTTGCCTACACTGTCTCCGCAGGCGCACTGCGAACAGCGCCCGGCCAGCCGTCACACAGAGGGCGCCGGCATCATCGCCGGCGGCCAAAACTCTAGAAGCGTTTTGAGCTCCAGAGTCGTTAAACAGGCGTATCGAACGTGTGACCCCCACCAATGGATTCCTCGATCGGAGAGCAATCCATTGGTGGGGTCACACGTTCGGTTCGAGTCCTGGTTAGCGACTCTGGAGCTCAAAACGCGTCCGGGATTTTGGCCGCCTCCACCGGTCTTCTGGCCCAACTGAGTCGGAAGGGAAGACCGCGGAGAAACGGAAAGAGCGAAGGGTTTCTCTTAGTCCGTGCGGAGCGGATTGGCAGTGGCCTTCCGCCTTCCTGCCGTGTCGCTCGATCCAGGTCCCAGGCATTGCGCTCTGAGAGGCGTTGGAGCGCGCGACCCAGGAGGACACGTTCGCTTTTTATCTCTAGTCGATCGGCACCTGTCCTGTACGTGCCGCCACGCCGAGGCGGGCCAACGCACCGAGGGCGACACTTTGCGGCTGCCGTCGGTAAGCCGGGCTCTCCGTCGAGCCACTCCCAGTCGGCGAGTCAGCCCCGCGAAGCGTCAGGCGGAAAAACGAGGCTCAGTGGCCTGAGAAGGACTCCCAAGGACTGCTCGCTTGGAAATGGACTGGTCGACAGCAATAATTAGTGCAATCCGGTGGTCCCGGGCGTCGTCCCGGCCTCGCGGCGTAGGCGCCCGTGCCACCACCCCGCCCCGCCCCGTGCCCACCAGACTGGAAGTGCTATGTGTGTGTGTGTGTTCGAGTGATGCCGGCCGTGCACGCCGGGCGGTGGGTGGTCTTTGTTGGTCATTGTTTCTGCACTATGCCGTGTATGACGGGGCATGACAGCTCTCACAATCTGTTTCACGCTCAGTTTGCGGTGTTTAGCGCGGTGGCGTGCAGACTGGCTGCTAGTACACTGCATGGCGGCGCGGTGGCGTAGCGGCGGCGGCTTCGGGGCCTGGAGGAGGGAGGCCAGAAGCAGAGGCCAGAAGGGGGATCGGGCGGTGTAGAGTGGCGTAATGTAATAGAGATCGCAGTAAACAGCGGGAAAACGGGCCCACCGGCCAGACAATCGTTGCGACCGTGTGTGTGTGTTGTGTGTGTGTGTGAGTCTGGCGCCGGGGCGGCGTGGCCAGACACAGAGGAGGCCCGCGTCTTGTATCGCATGATCCGTGTCGGAATCAGTGTGAATACGCATTACCTTTTCAAAAGATGAGATCTGATTCACCGCCTACTGCCCGTCTCGCCACCGCCGCCGCCGAAACGTTGCAAAGGTTCTCACGGTGGTTCAGCAGCGGCAGAGGGCGCTTCGCTCCGTGGTGGCTTCGGACCCAGCGCACAGTGGGCCAGAAGACCGGCGCCGGAGGCAAAAACTCGGGACGCGTTTTGAGCCCCAGAGTCGCTGAACAGGACCTCGAATCAAACGTTTAACCGGGTTCGACCCCACCAATGGCTTCCTCGTTCGGAGAGCAATCCATTGGTGGGGTCACACGTTCGGTTCGAGTCCCATTTAGCGACTCTGGAGCTCAAAACATGTCCAGGACTTTGACCGCCTCCACCGGTCTTCTGGCCCACTGTGCGACGCGGCCAGGGCCGAGGCCAGGGCTGCCTTCTCCATCTCACGGAATAAGCACATGCCGGGAAGACGCCACTGCAATCTTCGCTCCCCTTTCGCCCCGCCCCGCCCCGCCCCGCCCCGCCCCGCTCCCCTTCGGCCCCTTCGCCATTCAAATGCACATCTGCGGGGAGCAAGCATCTTTGTCGCCACCACTCAAACGTCGCGGTCTGAATGGAGCGCGCCGCGCCGCCCCTGCAGGCCGTGTCGCCCCTGGCTGCCTTGCCTGCGTGTGCCCTGCCGCGCCGTGCCGTGCCGTGCCGCGCCGCTCGCGCTCCTTGCGAAAAGAGAGCATTCTTGCAATCTCACAGAGTACCCGAGCAGCCAACCCGACCCACAGAGGCCGCCGCTGCCGCCGCACAGGCCGCCGTGGCGGCAGCCCCTGGCGGCGCGGAGCCAGCCAGCATATCAAAGAGGGCATAGCATTAATGTTTTCGAGTCTAGTCTCGTGCGACGCGCCAGCGGACAGACGCCCAAAACAAAAGCATCGCTGATTTTATAAATTGTCCTATTCCGTTTTCCAAATTTTGCAGCATTGCTTGGCTGGCTGTGCGGTTTTCGCCCGGAGGTACTTTAGGCCGCAATTCCGCAGACACGGTCGCGCATGAAGCGGCACTTCACAGGAGTCGCGCCGAGATTAAAAAGGGGGAGGGAGCGCTCTCTCTCTCTCTCTCTCTCTCTCTCTCTCTCTCTCTCTCTCTCCGAGGGGGTATGCGCTCTCTGAACCTGTGTACCGACTATTACGCTATTACGCTCTATTACGCCACAAATTAATCGGAATTTAGCTAAAAACGGCCTAAAACACACCAAAATTGATAAAATTTTGACATTTTCGGCTATTACGCGACTATTACGCGTGTTATTACGCGTGCTATTACAGATAGAGTGAACCGACTATTACGCGAGTGCATACCCCCTCGTCTCTCTCTCTCTCTCTCTCTCTCTCTCTCTCTCTCTCTCTCTCTCTCTCTCTCTCTCTCTCTCTCTCTCTCATGCCGCAGTCAAACACGGCGGGGCGAATTGGCGGAGAAGCGGCGAGGCCCCAGTGGCCGCCAGGGCGGGGGGGGGGGGGGGGGGCTGACGTCACCGCGGCCGGCGAGGGGGTATGCACTCGCGTAATAGTCGGTTCACTCTATCTGTAATAGCACGCGTAATAGTACGCGTAATAGTCGCGTAATAGCCGAAATTCTCCAATTTTTGCCAATTTTGGGGTGTGTTGGGGCCGTTTTTAGCTAAATTCTGATTATTTTGAAGCGTAATAGAGCGTAATAGCGTAATAGTCGGTTCACAGGTTTTGAGAGTGCATACCCCCTCGGCGGCCGGCCTGGCCTAGCCTGGGCGGCCATAGTGGCGCCGGCGCCGAGCCGAAAGTAGTGCATCATGTCCAAGTTTGCCAAGACACGTGGTGCCTGCTGGTCCAGTACGGCGAGGCCATCCTCGCTGGCGGCCACCAGCCACCCTCTGAGGGCTCCGCGTGGAGACCGGGGAATCACTGCAAGTGCTCCTCTGTTGGCCCGAGGTGAGGTTGAGCATTCTCTCCCTCTGTCTCTCCCTCTCCCTCTGGCGTTTTTAATACGCTCTTTCCCATTTTCCTTTCGCTGCCTTTTTGCCTTTCACCCGGCCACCCCTCATACGTTTGATCTCCACAATGAGCCGACGCTTCCCCGTCCTGCCCGTCCTCCGCGACCCCCTCGCCCTCGTCGCCGCGGTGTCGCCCGGCGCACAGTGGGCCAGAAGACCGGTGGAGGCGGCCAAAACTCTAGACGTGTTTTGAGCCCAAAAGTCGCTAAATGGGCCTCGAAACGAACGTGTGACCCCACCAATGGATTCCTCGTTCAAAGAGCAATCCATTGGTGGGGTCACACGTTTCGGTTCGAGT